TGTAAGTACATCAGAGTTTGAGAATCAACACTGATCTGTTTGAATCTTGATATTACAGCCTATCATTGGAAACCCTGGCTGTACCTTATATGTACTTCTAAAATCTACTGTTTGGGAAACCCAACTCCAGAGATTCGGATTTAATTGGCTTGGGTTGAGGTCTATCATGGCCATGGACCTAATTTCACAATCTCCCCACTGGAAAACTACATTTAAGTGACAGATCAGCCCTGACTTCCCAGCATCCCAGTACTGGTTCTAGAAGTCAGGTATGCCCACATGTGTCCTGACCCTGTCCTGGGGGAACTATGGTGCCCTGAGCAAGAAGGAAGCTTCTGGGGCACTGCATGCCAATTCAACTTCACAGCTACTGAGAAACTCCATCATATTTTCTGCCTTTTCTTATTCATGCTCCTTCAGGACTTAATTCATTCCAAGAAAAGCATCCATGTTCTAACCTTACAGGTGGTTTGGATTTGCTATCTAGAGCCACTCAGAGAACCAGGTGCTGAATAACCTAAGGCCTCAGGGTAATTTACCCACCTGTCAGATTAGCACCAAATTTCTTTTAGTTTCATCTTTTCCTAATAGTGAAATGGAAGTAACTAATATTTCTCTCAAGCCTTTGGAAAATATGCTTTTACTGTTGACCAGGCACTACTAAATTAAGATTTCCACTATGACAGGTGCTTACAAATAACCGACATATTACTTAACAAGAAGCTCAAATTGATAAGTATGACTTAGATGCAGGTGGTGGGGTGCGGGGATTGACTGTTTACTAATGCATCCCCAGTGAAAGAGACAATGCCTGGAAGGTTGCATGCTTTAATAAATGTTTGTTAATTAAATTCCTCAAGAAACAATAAAGTCTGACCTTTCATTCATTCAAAGTTACCGACCGTACCGTGTTAGCGAACCTGCAACAGAAGGTGCTTTATCAAAGGATTTTTAAATAAAGCTCCAGATTTCCTTTGAAAAATAAATCGTGCGCCCCAATCCAGTGCCATGTTTCAGGTGCCCTAGTGTGACCTCGGCTCCTCATTTGGAGGCTGGCTAAGGGATGTGATCCCTGCCCTTGAATCTCCTTCCTTTGTAGTTTTTTTGACCTGCGCGGTTCCGTTTCCAAGGCGGAGGAGTGCGCGCCGCGNCTGGGACGTGCTTGGCCGGGCGGCCCGGAGCAGCCGCGATGGCCAGCACCAGGAGTATCGAGCTGGAGCACTTTGAGGAACGGGACAAACGGCCGCGGCCGGGGTCGCGGAGAGGGGCGCCCAGCTCCTCCGCCGGCAGCAGCGGCTCGGGCCCCAAAGGCAACGGGCTCATCCCCAGCCCGGCGCACAGCGCCCACTGCAGCTTCTACCGCACGCGGACCCTGCAGGCCCTGAGCTCGGAGAAGAAGGCCAAGAAGGCGCGCTTCTACCGGAACGGGGACCGCTACTTCAAGGGCCTGGTGTTTGCCATCTCCAGCGACCGCTTCCGGTCCTTCGACGCGCTGCTCATGGAGCTCACCCGCTCCCTGTCGGACAACGTGAACCTGCCCCAGGGCGTCCGCACCATCTACACCATCGACGGCAGCCGGAAGGTCACCAGCCTGGACGAGCTGCTGGAAGGTAGGCGAGGAGGGCCGGGCGCGGCAGGTGCGGCGCCGCCGGCGACAGGTGCACCGGCTGGGCAGCCTGCGGCGGGGGCGGAGGGGCGGCGATTCCAGGCGGCCGCGGGGATGGTGGGCTTCTCTGCTGTTCCGCGGGCTGTGTGTGCGGGGCGTGTGTTCACAGACACTCGGGCCTTCCTAAGAGACAGGTGTTGAAAAAAAAAAAGTGAGAAATCCTAACGGGCTTTGTGACATCTCTCAAGATGGGTGAACTTATTTTCGATATTTGCTGTTTTGAAATGCTCGATCATTGTGCAAGTGGCTCTCCCGTGAGGATCTGGGTAACCCTCCAGCTCATAAGCTGTCTGTCCATCCCTCTGTGTGGAGCTCAGAACGGGCACCTGCGGTGGTTCGGCTTTCGGGACCCTGTTGTACCGGGTCTGCTCAGAAGCTGTTTGTGAAACACTGTAGGTTGCCTCTCCTGGTTTGCCTTGCAGCAGAAGTTCCATGAGGTCAGGAGAGGTGTTCCGGAGACTGTGATTCTCAACCTTGGTTGCATCTTGGATCACTGGGGACTTTAAGAAGTAAGGGTGCCTGGGCCCCCTTCCCAGGTATTTGGATGTAAATTGGTTTGGGGTGTGGTCTGACCATCTGGAGTTTTAAAAGCTCCTCAGGGGGTTTGAATGTACTGCTGAGGTTGAGAAGGGCTGTGGTAAGAGTTTTCCAGGATTGGTTGGTAATGAGGTGATTCAAGGTTAATCTTTCCTAGTTAGGGAGATAGAGGCCAAGAATCAGCGATTGAGGCCTGTTACAAATTAGGCCTAGAGTGCCAACCATGCTGGACTCAGACTATTTGGCCTTATGTTGGGTGATCCTTGAATTCCTACAGTATTTAGGCTTCTTTCGCTTCAGGGAGAGAAATCGTTACTAGTAGTTAAGAACCTATATCCAGAATTAAACATGACCCATGAAGTTCAGAACCCAAGTATGTGCTGACTGTGTTTATATACATACAAGCCTGTTGTCATGCATCTTTTTTATAATTTAATTTTTTAAATTTTGGCTGCTCTGTGCGGCATGTGGGATCTTAGTTCCGCCACCAGGAATTGAACCCACACCCCCTGCAAGAAATGAAAAATCTTAAACAGACCTCCAGGGAAAGCCCCTCATGCATCTTAACGCAAATAGCACATACTGCATGGTAGTCATACCTATACTGGCTTGGCAGGAGAAGGAAACTGAACTTGAAGCCAACTATTTTTCTTATAGTAACCCATCATGTTCTTACGCTCTGAAGGCACTATGTCCGTTTTATGCATGAGGAAACTTAGGCAACATGCCTTGTCACACAGGACATGCAGTATATGTCTGTTCACCTGCAATTCACTTTAAAAAATTTTTATTGGAGGGTAATTACTTTACAATATTGTGGTGGTTTCTGCCATACATCAACCTCAGTCAATCACAAGTATACGTGTGTCCCCTCCCTTTTGAACCTCCCTCCTATCTCCCACCCCATCCCACCCCTCTAGGTTGTCAGAGATCACTGGGTTGAGTTTAATAAACAGATGTAGCCACACCGTGGAGTCCTTAAAGTGGTTGGGTTTCTGTTTAGTCACTGTTACGGAAAGTTTTCCCTGCCCTAGGCTAGATGAGGACTCAGCCAAAACTGTTGTCTTTTCTCTCAGTGTGTGTATATGTGTGTGTTTGTGACTTCACAAATTCTCCTGCACATTTGAGTGTTTTGGTCTTAAATGCTATCTGAGGCATGACAACCAGCAGAGTATTAAAATTAAGATACATTGTTAAAAGTTTTATTGCTTTATCCTGTTGCAAACTTAAAAGTAACATTTGCCTAGATACTTCAAAACTGAGTGACAAATTTTCTGATTGACAGGCTAGGCTAGTGGCCCCAAGGAAGGATGGAGGCAGTGCCTTTTGCTTAAATATTCATTACTCACATGCCCTAGGGAAACTGCCTAGTATGGTCTGAGAAGGGACAGTAGTTTTAATATCCTTTTCTGAAATAATTTTAATAGTGTTAGCTGCATGAGATGAATGTAATCCAAAGATGAATACCATCTAGGGGGGATGGTCAGCATTTCCATTATGCATATTAATTGAAAACACACATTGTGTACCGAGTTTGTCATTGCTCAAGTCGTACATGGTCCACTGAATCTGATTCTCAAGCTGTAAATTGAAGGTTGATAACTATCCTTCTAATCGTTTGTTCCCTGATTTCTGTAGGAGAGGGAACCATAAGTATACAGCCCAAATTACACCACAATATGAAAAGTGATAGAACACAAATATTTGCAACAGAACTGTTTCCCTAGTATAGCCAATTGCCCACTTGTTTCAAATGTAATAAAATTATATATTTTTAAATGTAGTAAAATCACTGCAAATGAAGAAAATTTAAGCACTTCTTTTGTCGTAGTGGCATTCTCTTTGACAATAGATCTTTGAGTCTTGAATTTCCCACAAAATGAGTGGAATACCCTGTTTCAAGGCAGTTTTTAAGAAAGACCCATCGATGCTTAATACCAGCCATTCAGTAGTTTAAATAGTTTCAACATTTAGGTAAATTGTGTACTCAAATGTTCAGCTTTATCATGCAGAAGGACTAATGAGCTATTCTGCCTAGTATGGTCTGAGAAGGGACAGTAGTTTTAATATCCTTTTCTGAAATAATTTTAATAGTGTTAGCTGCATGAGATGAATGTAATCCAAAGATGAATACCATCTAGGGGGGATGGTCAGCATTTCCATTATGCATATTAATTGAAAACACACATTGTGTACCGAGTTTGTCATTGCTCAAGTCGTACATGGTCCACTGAATCTGATTCTCAAGCTGTAAATTGAAGGTTGATAACTATCCTTCTAATCGTTTGTTCCCTGATTTCTGTAGGAGAGGGAACCATAAGTATACAGTCCAAATTACACCACAATATGAAAAGTGATAGAACACAAATATTTGCAACAGAACTGTTTCCCTAGTATAGCCAATTGCCCACTTGTTTCAGATGTAATAAAATTATATATTTTTAAATGTAGTAAAATCACTGCAAATGAAGAAAATTTAAGCACTTCTTTTGTCGTAGTGGCATTCTCTTTGACAATAGATCTTTGAGTCTTGAATTTCCCACAAAATGAGTGGAATACCCTGTTTCAAGGCAGTTTTTAAGAAAGACCCATGGATGCTTAATACCAGCCATTCAGTAGTTTAAATAGTTTCAACATTTAGGTAAATTGTGTACTCAAATGTTCAGCTTTATCATGCAGAAGGACTAATGAGCTATCTGTGAAGTGACTTGCATCAGTATCACCCATGTCGTCAAAACTGACTATTTCATCTTAGTTCATCATTTTTAATAAAGATTTTCTGATAGTAAGTTTTTACACCATTATGTTTAGCTCTTCTCTCCTCTGCCTCTTCCATTCTGTGAAATGTGTAGTTTAGGAGATAACTGTTGTTCCTAAAATGTTTTTTTCTAAAATATTTGCTGTGAAGAATAGAAAATGATGACTCAAGATAGCTGGGCATGAACACTCATTCAGAGCCTCAAGCTCATTGAACTCAGATGACAAAAGAAATTTGCATGGCCCAGATTTTTTCTTCTGCCCTTGAGAGCCTCTGGAGACTAAAAACTGTTCAGGTGTAGGCTGGTCCTCCTGCACTGCACTGACCAGCGGGCACCTTGGAAGTGAACGTCACTCAGTCATGTCCGACTCTTTGCGACCCCCATGGACTCTACAGTCCATGGAATTCTCTAGGCCAGAATACTGGAGTGGGTAGCCTGTCCCTTCTCCTGCAGATCTTCCCAACCCAGGAATCGAACCGGGGTCTCCTGCATTGCAGACAGATTCTTTACCAACTAAACTATCAGGGAAGCCCAGCCTAATGGTTTAACTCCCATTAACTGCATTAAATTTAATTTAATAATAACTGCATAATTTAACTGCATTAAAAATTTCACCGAGTTGGTGCTATGCACCCCTATAATCGTATTTAGTCCTTATAACTGGATAGGGACCTTCTCGCAAAGGACTGTAAACATAGCAGTCAGTATTGGGAAACACAGGTTGAACTGTCTGAAGCCATGAGCTAGCCAACTGTGTCGCAGCTCTGATAAATAACAGAGGATGTCCGGCTTACATGTTCCAGGTTCTCAGCACTCTTGGGCTCAGTGTTGTTTCTTGAGTGTTCTCTTTTTCAGAGCTTGACCTGTAATTTTGATGTTCCAAAGACAGATGCCCAAGGACAGTGGAAAGAATGCATGACCAAGTTGACGTCCCTAGGTTCTGCTGACTGTGGATTTGAAAATAATTCACCTGCATTCACGGCCTCAGCATCCTGTAGAATGAAAGGTTGGCAGATCCCCGAAGTTAGATCCCATCTGGTCTAAAATATATACCCTTCCCCTGCCTAAGTGGTTATTTATTGTGTGATGGTCTGGGGTGCCTCCCCACACCCAGAAACTATCTTCCAGAGAATTGACAAGGTAGCAAATGCCTACACTACAAGGAGTGGGGTATGTGGCTCTGATAAATTGTTTGCAAGGAGCCTAAATAGCTGCTGCCTATGTCTGCCTCTTTCATTACAAAGTAATGTGTCACTTTATATCATTTATACCCTTTCCCCCTCAGTCAACAATGAATAAGCTTCTTCCATTAAGCTGTCTTAAATTAGCTTGAATTAGCTTGAAATTTGAGAAAAATTAAGTTCTAAAAGAAATCAAGCATTTGAAACTTCTGAGGTTTTCATACTATGCTCAGTTTATTGAATCTCTGGTTATTCAGTCTCTTTGGTTATTCAATCTCCTTGAAGGTGTTGGATCAAAATATAGTGACAGTTACTTTTGAATAAAAATGAGTCTCCCATAAGAACTCACATTATAGGTTTTATCCCCCTTGAAAGGTAGACTTTTATGCTAATAATAGAACCTGAGCTCTTGGAACTTGTTATGGTGAAAGCAACATAAACCCATGAGATACAAGATATCTGTGTGT